AGAGAAAAAGAGGAAGACCCCCAACGAGATGGATTGGCCAGGTGGCATCATTGATGGACTCAAGTGTGGCAGCGGTAGTGAGGTTGGCCCAGGATAGAACGTTGTTTTGTTCTGCTGTGCATGGAGTCGCTATGAGTCAGTTCCGACTCGATGGCACCTGACAACAACAACAACAACAACCTTGAGATTAGCAGCCTGTTTCATAACATGATATAGGGTTTCCAAGGAGTGTCTAGAAGGTTTGAGCCACCAACCTTGTGGTTAGCAGTCCAATGCTTAATGCCCATTAATTGTAAGTGAAATATTAAATATAAACACAGATACTTGACATTTTCTCTAGTCAGCAATAAATCTCAGACCAAAGAAGGCTAGGGTGTATTGGATGCTTTAAAAACAGTTTTATTATAGTTGGTAATCCATTGAACTTGAGGCTTTCTTGTCCCTTCTATGAAAAATGAAGTGTCCTTTCAGTAGGTGGCAGTGTTATCTTTGTTAAAACCTAAAGTTTGCATTCCCGATAGTATCTGATTACCACTGTATCTTCTTGTGAAATATTTGGCTTAATCCCCCCAAATTGTACCTGATATAAATTTAAAAGCAACTAACAGAATCATTAATTCAGTATCAACATTATCTTGTTAAGAGTTGTTGAGTTGTTTCTAACTCAGCAACCCTGTATAGTGTTTCCAAGGAGGGGCTTGTGGATTTGAATTGGTGACCTAGCAATGCTTATCCTACAGCGTCACACCAGGACTCCTTTAGTTAACTTGTTGCTGTTGTTAAGTGCTGACCCATAGTGACCCTGTACAGGGTTTCCAAGGAACAGCTGGTGAGCTTGAACCACCGACCTTGCAGTTCAAACGACTTTGCAGTCTGATGCATTAGCCTATGCACTATTAATTTAGTTAAACATAAACTTAACTTTTTAAAAATCATGCTGCACTAGTTAACCACCCATACCTCCCAGCTGATTCAGACAAGTAGTGATGCATAGGGTTTCTGAGGCTGTAAAGCTTTGTGGGAGCAGAAAGCCTCATTTTTCTCCCATGTGGTAGCTGGTGGGTTTGAACTACCAACCTGTGGTTAGCAGTCCAATGCTTATCTTATAGGGCCACCAGGGCTCTTTGTATTCACTAGCTGACCTGCATAAGGTAACTTTACCTGCTTGTAATAAGAGGCTACATTGTGACAGATGAGATTTAATTTTCAAACCTGCCAAATGGAAAAGCCATCCATTATACATGTTGTTGTTAAGTGCCGTTGAGTCGGTTCTGATCCATAGCGACCCTATGTAGGGTTTCTGAGGAGCAGCTGATGAGCTTGAACTGCTGACCTTGCAGTTCAAAATCCAATACGAATCATAAATACTGGCTTGTCTTCATTTTAAATAATAGAATCAAAGACTGAAGTAAATCACATCCTGCTATATAATTCCTCAAATTTCTCCTACTTCTTGGCTGAATTTTCATATGAAAACAAAAGTCAGCACCTTTTTCATAGTAATGTGTCCTTTGTTGAGAATGTTATGCTTTTCCATTAGAGCTTGTTCATAGCAATGTTTAGTCACCTAGGAACGCATCTTCCCAAGCTTCTTGTTTTGGGTAGTGTAGAACTCTTACTATAAAACAAGCAATTTTATCAAGATTCTGAAAACCTGAGGAAAAATTATAGTACTGGAAGGGGCATTAAGAAGTAAGTCACTAGATTAAAATTCATATTGTGCTCTCAGGAAAATCTAGCCTGTTTTAGAAAAATGGATTTCTGCCTTCATCATGCAGAGTTATAGCTTAAACATAGCAACTTACTCCCATGCTTCTCCACCCTTACTACATACAGTAAGAGTTCTTCTTTAATGTCTTCTTTGAACCCCTGTCTTATATTTTTGTTATATTTTCCCTTCTGATTTACTTTTAGTGGAATTGGAAAACAGCAGTATCGATGATATTTTTAAGCATTCAAACAGCAACAAACAGCTCTTCAGAGGAAAGCATGATACTTTTGAAACTGAAAGAATGATTTACTCAGCTTTCATTATTTTTTAAATTTATGGATTCATTTTCATAGTCTCATTTATAAAGAAAAGAATATTTGTCCAAAATAAAGTTTCATTTATTT